AATGGTTTTTCAATTTTTTTTTCTTGGTCCAAGCTCTGTCCCGTCTTATCTGACCACTGTCTTGGTAGTCCTTCATGGCCATTCCCCCGTCCTACACAGCAGCACCTGACTCACCCAGCAAAATATCTGATGTTTTTGTACAGTGGTACCTCGGTACCCGTCATTAATTGGTTCCAGGAGTTGAAACGAGTAGTAAAAACAACGAGCAGAAAACACATTTTTCCCGTAAGGAATAATCTAGTTGCAATGGTGGTGAACCTTTTAGAGACTGAATGCCCAAACTGCACTCAAAACCCACTTATGTATCGCTGGGAGCCGGGTGGGTGTGGCCCGCTGGGTAGGTGTGGCCCGCTGGGTGGGCATAGCTATGGTGATCATGGCAGACTGGGTGGGCGTGGCCAGCGCAGGGGAAGAAGCAGCGAAGAGGCTCCGTGCCCAGCCAGTCCAGCCCAGCCCAGCTTGGATACATGGCCATGGAGCGATTTTGTGGCCCCCCAGCGGCCCGATCCAGGCTCCCAAGGGTTGGAAAAGGACTCCAGAGCCTGGATCGGCTGGGGGGGGGGCGAAATCACTCTGAATGCATACCTGGACTCTTGCTCGCAGCTTCCGTTCATACAACCTGCGTTGTATGACAAAAAAAGCCCTGCCTCCACCATCCAGCCCGGATCTATCCAGCTCTTGCAGCTGTTCTGACTCTCAGTGCAGATGCAGAGAGAAAGAGAGCGAGAGTACTGGTGCATGTAGAGAGGGGGAGGGGAGCGGCCCGGCCTCGCCTCCCTCTGGGGCAATGGTGCACGTGCCCACACGGACAGTTCTGCGTGCTGCCTGTGGCACACGTGCCACAGGTTCACCACCACGAATCTAGTGAGTCACGAGGCAGCTGATGACAAGTTCTAGCTTGCGTGTTGAATACCAAACAAACGACGAGTACCGGGATAAAATTTTTGCATCAAAATGTGTTGAATATCTAATTCTGTGAGTTTCAAAACAGTTGAATATCAAGGTACCACGGTGTATGTGCAAAGTACAGGTAATCCTTGACTTGTAACAGTTCGTTTAGTGACTGTTCAAAGTTACACAGCCCTGAAAAAAAAGAAGACCATTTTTCACACTTACGACTGTGGCAGCATCCCCATGGTCACATGACCAAAATTCAGACACTTGGCAAATGACTCCTATTTATGATGGTTCCAGTGTCCCGGGAGTCATGTGATCACATTTTGCGACCTTCTGACAAGTAAAGTCAATGTGGAATCCAGATTCATTTAACAACCATGTTACTAATTTAACAACTGCAGTGATTTACTTAACAAGTTTGGCAAGAAATGTCGTAAAAAGGGGCAAAATTCACTTAACGGATGTCTCACTTAAACAAAAGAAATTTGGGGTTCAATTGTGGTTCTAAGTCAAGGATTAACTATTTTGATTTTAGATCGAACATTCAGGGGGGAATCTAGAATATACAGGTAACCATCTGCCTACAACCAGTTGCTTAGCAACTATTCAAAGTTACAACAGACTCCAAAAAAGGTACTTATGACCCACAATTCTAATAGCCCCTCCTCCTCCTCCTGGTCATGTGATCCCATTTTGGGTCCTTGGCAGCCCAACTTGCATTTACAGCCATTTGCAGCATCCTGCAGTCACATGACCACAATGTATGGATGTTTTCTGCTGGAAACTAGCTTTTACTTCCAGTTTCCAGCAAAAAAAAAAAAAAAAAAATGCCCATTGTGGGCAATGCGTTCGCATAATGACTGCAGGATTCATTTAACAACCGCTGCAAAAAAGATCATAAAGTTGATGTGGTCATATGATGATCCGTTTAACAATCGGCGCAACTTGCAGCCATAATTTTGGGCTCAATTATGGTTGCAAGTCAAGGACTACCTACAGTGTAACTATTTCTAGTAAACCACTTGAGACTTTGATGATCAGCTATGTAAAAAAGTTAAACAAATAAATGTTCTCAGCAGCAGTTTTAGTGACACCCCAGAAATTCATGTAGAGGCCTGTTTAAAGCTATTTATATCCTTAGCCATGGTCCAAATGGATATTAGAAACAAAGCTGGCTCAGTACCAATATCCAATTTTCATTCCAGGATTGATGATGAATCATAGTTTGATTTAAAAACTATGTTCCCTATACAGGAAGATCTCAACTGATGATCACAATTGGGACCAAACTTTCTGTTGTTAAGCAAGTGATTGCCCCCAATTTTTTGACCTTTTTTGCAACAGTTGTTAAACGAATCAACAGTAACATCTACACAGCGAAGGTTAGGAGTCAATATCAGCAAGATGACTTAGGGAACATCACAACCCAAGCCCCCACCTCTTTTGAACTGCACTCTGAAACCATCACACACCATCAACTGTCTACACCAATCTGGAGCCCTCCTACAGGCACTGCTGAATGTCAAGGACTGTAGAAATTGTGTCTATGTAACTTGATGCCATACAGAAATAACACTTTTCCATAAATTAATTCTACCCATTCAAAAAACAACAACAACAACAAAACCCAATCACCAGATGCTGCAGAATCAGCTATGGGGGAGACAAAACTTACATGGATGTATATAAACAAATACAAACTCATGTAAATCTTGCCTTTTGAAGGTTATTTATATAAAAGTGTCTTTTTGCATTTCTTTTCTCGCTGAAAACACCTATTTTGTATACCCTGAAAGCAAACTGGAGGGGCTCTGATCAAGACAACACTTCACACAGTTATTTTACAGAGAAGACAGCACTTAACCTCTGGTCGACTTTGAGGTTTATAAAAAGAACCATCACTTAAATGAAAGCTGCTAAACTCAACAGAACAGAATCAGATAGACAAGGAGATGCAGCCTGTTAAAAACAGAACTAAACTGACTCATCAGATTATCAACTTCCCTGGCAGTTTTCTGGATTATTGGCAAACTCTCTGGCTTCTGCCACTGTGATGCTCATGGAGGAATCCATACTGCCAGCAGGCAAAATATACAGATTTCTATCACAGGAAAATGAGAGAGGCTAGGGAGACACAGTATGGGGACAAAGTTGTCTTCTCCATAACACAGGAAGACTATGATTGACATTTTACCATCAAGGTAAGTAGAGACACAGCACGAGGAAGACAGGCATATGGATAGCCCAAGGGTTTGTCCAATGTAATTTGATATTCCAATTCTATCCCTGAGAAATTCATCCAAATGCACAATGGCAGACAAAAAAAAAATGTCCATCTGCATTAATCTCTCCTTCAGCTAGGCAGTCAAAATTCAGTACTGGCTTTGAGTTCTACAGCACATGTATAACTCAAGTAGCAAGCTTGGGTCAGTGCATTCATAATACATCATAAAATGAGGTTGGGATTCACCAGGAAATACATTTTTGTGGGAAAGTTGCTTCTTCAACGAATGCTCTAAAACAGGGGTCTTCAAACTTGGCCCTTTTATGACTGAATTCCTCAGACAGGTACGCCAGCTGAGGAATTCTGGGAGTTGAAGTCCACAAGTCATAAAAGGGCCAAGTTTGAAGAGCCCTGCTTTAAAATATAGGTAAGCAGCCTGATGGCTCCCAGATGTTTTAAATATATGCCTCACACAATCTGTCCAGCAGCAAGGGACTGCGTAGTTCAAAACATCTGGAGGGCATCCAGTTGCTTGCCTCAACCCTAAAAATATATATTATGTACATAGACACCACAATGCACTCACTTTTCATTTGTTCTGTCTTCTCATAGCTCCCATTCTCATACAAATCTGATATGCATCCTAGCCCAGTGGTGGCGAACCTATGGCATGCGTGCCAGAGGTGGCACCCAGAGCCCTCTCTGTGGGCATGCGGGCAGTCGCTCCCCCCACAGTCTCCTCCTCACCAGCAGTCCCCCCCCCCCCGGAGGAGGGTCGTCCCTGAGGACAGCCCTCGCAGAGCAGCACAGCCAAAGATATGGCAGCCGGGCAGTGGGGTCAAGACTCCGCCCTCACACCCCATCACGCACAGGTGAGCGGAGAGCATGGCCACCATGGTGCTGCTGGGCTGCCTGGGCAACCTACTGAGGCAGGCCGTGAAGGTGGTGGGTGGTCCTGCAGGCAGGCAGGTGGGGCAGTGCAGGGGGTGAAGCGGGGGCAGGGCGGGGCAGTTTTGGGCACTCGGTCTTTAAAAGGTTTGCCATCACTGTCCTAGCCATTCCTCAAAAGGACTCAACATCTTCCAAATTCATTACAAATGAACAATTGCCATAATTCCTACAGGTAGTCCTTGACGTTTGACCACTGTTGGGACAAAAATTTCCATTGCTAAGCAAGGCGGTTGTTAAGTGAGGAGTCCTTGGTGCTCTCTGAGCTTGATGGTTTTCTTGCAGATGTTTCATTACCAACAACCATCATTGGTTGTTAAGTGAGTCATGCTCAATATTATGAGCTTTCCAGCCACAGTTGTTAAGTGACTCACCAAAGCTGTTAAGTGAATCATGCTGTCTTTAAGAAAATTTGGCTTCTCCCATTGACTTCCTTGTTGGAAGCCAGCTGGAAAGGTTGCCACTGGTGACCACATGATCCTGGGACACTGCAACCATCTTAAATACATGCCAGCTGCCAAGCAACTAAATTTTGATCAAGTGACTCTGGGGATGCTGTCACAGTTTTAAGAGTGGTCGCTAGTCATAAGTCACTTTTTTCAGTGCTGTTGTCATTTCAAATGGTCATTAAATGAACGGTCAAATGTCTACGGTCATCCAGGCCACGGTTGTCCCAAGGGTACTTTTTCAAGAGACAACTGGACTTTCGTTGTTTTTCCTTGAAGACGTTTCGCTTCTCATCCAAGAAGAGAAATTGAGAATGATGAGAAGCGGAGCATCTACAAGGAAAAAACAAAGAAAGTCCAGTTGCCCTTGAAAAAGCACCTTTGGGATAAATGAATGGTTGTAAGTCAAGGACTACCTGCGTGACTGTTGTAATTTCAAAGCAAACAGGACCAAGAGAAAAAGAATAGAAAGGGCACTTCCTCACCTGAGTTGCGCCTGCAGCTGGAGTCGCAGCTAATCGGGGCCCCGGTGCTGATTTCACGACATCGGTCAAGGACACTCCTGTCTCTGCCACGAGTCCTACAAGAAGATCAATGAGAAGAAACAAAATGAGGGATTGTCTGAACTCCTTGGCAGATGTACACGTTTCATTGATCTTCCCCAGACGGGTCAGTCTTCAAAAGTGAAGGATAAAGTGTAAAGATTTTATTTTCAAATGCACGGATCTAGGCATGTGGGGTCTCAGAGATCACATCTGGGTCAATAATTCAATTTGTCCCATGGAGGGTAAAGCTAGCCACATAGTTGCAAGTTCAACAGTATCAGTGATGGCTGAAGAATGATGATAAGGCAGCCACGGGAAGCGAACTGATGAAGAAGGAATAAATTGAAGGTCCAGGCCTGTTTTTCTTTTAAAAAAGGAGCATCACAAAGGGAAAACTTTAGTTCAGCCTGATAAACAAGGCCACAGGCCAGGATTTGGGGCCTGATCCAGAGGATTAGCCCTATTAGTGCACCCATTCAAACACACTCATACAACTTGTCTTGTGGTACACCCCTAAAAGAAAACTACTTTGGGAGGGTGGGTTTTTGCTCGCCATAAGTCTAGGCCAGGGTTTTTCAAACTTTACTTGACCCTTGGGGATTCTGGGAAAACACAGGGCTCTCCCACAAAAGTGGATTTATCATTAGCAGCTACAACCATATCTTTTCATAAGCCTGGTGACCAGAAATGTATTGCTCTAAGAAACATTCTCCAATAAAAAAAAATGCACAGATAAAGTCCTATTTAAAACAAAAAACAAAAAAAACCTCCCACCTTCCTCTTCATTATTGTGTAGTTGTGGTTATCTCAGCTTCCCCAACATAGCAGCCTCATCCTTCATACACAGGCTGCCCTTCAGGGGATGAAGACTAGGAGTGATAGATTCATGGAGCCACACGGCCAACTTAAGCAGAAAAGGCCATGGGGGAAAGGGCAGCCTTTTTTTCCCTTTAAGGGGCCCTCCTCCATGGCATTTCACATGGTTAATAAACCACCTACTCATCTCTGATCCCTTTGCAAAGCAGAGAGTCCTCCACTTACAACCACAACTGAGTCTAAAATTTATGTTGCTAAGTGAGACATTTATTGAGTGGGTTTTGCCCCACTTTTACCCCATTTCTTGCCACTGTTGTTAAGTGAACCACTGCAGTTGTTAAGTTAGTAACACGGTTGTTAACTGAAACCGGCTTTCCCCCACTGACTTTGCTTGTCAGAAGGTCGCAAAAGGGGACACTGCAACCGTCATAAATATGAGACAATTGCCAAGCGACTGAATTTTTATCACAGGAGCACGGGGACACTACAATGGTCGTGTGAAAAATGATTGTAAGTCACTTTTTTCAGTGCCGTTGTAACGTTGAACACTCACTAAATCAGGGGTAGGCAACCTTGGCTCTTTTATGACTCGTGGACTTCAACTCCCAGAATTCCTGAGCCAGCCATGCTGAGGAGAAAGAGAGAGTTTCTATGCTGGCTCAGGAATTCTGGGAGTTGAAGTCCACGAGTCATAAAAGAGCCAGATGAATCGTTGTAAGTCTACAACTACCTGTGTGGACCATACCAACAGGAGCGGGATTTGCAAAAAGCTGGAATGTAGAACTGGGGTGCTAGCAGACCAAGGTTGAAGGTTAGGGAAACAAGGTGGCCCAATGAAAGGGGGAAAAACACCCAGACCCCTGACCTTCTGCCTTACTCCAAATTTCTCTTGGAGGCGAGACCCAGGAATCATTGCTACCCATGAAACACCAGGATAGTCTTTCATGAGCTGGGATGGCATAGTGGTTAGAATGCGGTATTGCAGGCAAACTCTGCCCAAAGCCTGGAGTTCAATCCTGATGGAGTTCAAGGTTGATTCAGCCTTCCATCCTTCCGATGTCAATTAAATGAGGACCCATATTGTTGGAGGCAATAGCCTGACATTGTGAAGCACTCAGAGAATGCTGCAAAGCACTGTGGGGAAATATACAAGTCTATAGCTACTGCTGTGAGAATGTCCCAACTCCAAAATGAAAAATCTTGAATGGAATAAGTGATGGTTAGCCTCAATTGTTCTATTATTTTATTAGGGGGAGGGGATGCTGATTATATCTAGAAACACAATCGTGTTTTTTTTTTTTATGCTTCTGACTCATTGCAAGCCACCCTGAGTTGCTTGGTAAGTTGAGCTGAGATATCAGTGAAATAATAGCCTAAGCAAGCCAACCAATAAGTAAATAAATCCAGTGAAGATCAACTACCAAAGCAGAAGATGAAAGACCGTTTAGCCCAGTGTTTCTCAACCTTGACAATTTTAAGGCATGTGGACTTCAACTCCCAGAATTCCACAGCCAGCAATGCTGGCTGTGGAATTCTGGGAGTTGAAGTCCACATGCCTTAAAATTGTCAAGGTTGAGATACACTGGTTTAGCCTAAAGATTCTTCCTTGAGGATTAAATTTGATCAGGGCGTGGCCTCCTGATCCAAGTGAGTATTACAGCATGCAAGAAGACCCATGTATGCTTGAGACCCATTTAAGGGGCAGCCACCTTAAGTGTATTCCACAAGGTAATCCTCAACTTACGACCAACAATTCGGATGTAAATTCCATCACTAAACCAGGTGGCTATTAAGCGAGTCATGCCAGATCTTATGACCTTCTTCACTGGGATTATTAAATGAATCATCATGGTTGTTAATTGAATCTCATCGTTGTTAAATGAATCCAACTGTCTTGAATACATGCTGGTTTCCAAGCATCTGAATTTTGATCATGTGGTCATGGAAATGCTGTGACAATTTAAGTGTGAAGACCAGTTGTAAGTCAATTTTTTCAGTAGTTATAACTGTTGTAATGGTTGCTAAACAATTGGTCATAAGTTGGGGATTTACCTTTTACTGCTGGGTGCCCAGTGCTTAGAAAGTCTTCTGGTTGACTTACCATGAATGGCCCTGTAAGCAGAACCTAAACAGGCTGAATTAGCAGTGTCAATTGTGTACACTGGAACACTGAAGATGTCCGACAGGATCTGAAAAGAAAAAAAAAAAAGATCTGTCACAACTTGATTGGGAAATCATTGTGCACTTTGCTTCCGTGGTCAAGACAGACAGATAAGATTTGCAGCCAAAGCACCATTGGTAAATTAATTAAAAAATAGCTGAAGGATTTTTTGGAAGGAGAGATGGATCAACAGCAAAAAGTAACAGGTAATAATTATGGTTAAGGTTAAAGTTGGTGAACAAAGCTCTGGAGACTTAGGTTGAAATCTAACCTCAACCACGGAACCTTATTAGATGTAGAAGAACATAGAGATAACTTTGATGAGAGAATAGATGAATCATTATAGAAAAAAACATGGCTACTCAGGCCTGGGATAATGAAAAGAAACAGTACCTCAAAAATAAACTTTTCTTGTTTCTCTTTGGTATAACACAAGTAGAGAGGAACTCCTGTAGGCTTTCAAGATTCTTTTACTAGACTGTACAACAATAAAGTAAATTCATCTAATCTTGCAGTGACTACTTCCTGGCCTAGCTCAAAGACCAACACATAGTGACTTTAGGCCAACTGCTCTTTCTCAGCCTACCTCAAAGGTCTTTATGGTTGGGATAAAATGATGGGAAACCTTCACATAAACATCCCAGGCACCTTGGGGAAAAGGTGGATATAAATCTAATGTCTACATAGAACACAGTTAGTCTTTAGATTTTGTAAATCCTATCAAATAAATCCAGTTTTATGGGAAAATACATAAGAATGCTCCACTGGACAACAATTCAACATGAGCCCAAAATCAACTTAAAACAAGAGCTGGAATGGAATTTTAAAGTTATCCAATACTGTCTGCATTCTATTTTGCAGCTTGCAAACTAATGGGACAACTGGGTTTTTAATCAAAAGCCAGATCTAAAGGAATACTGGACTTATTAAATTGATCAGTCTGCTGGAGATCATATTATTCTTATAAGAGATGTCTTATGATTTGGGAAGAATTCCAATAGCTAAAATCTGGGCTACTTTTCACATTAAGCCTGCAATGAAAGAATATTTCCCTTCCAATTCTGGAATGTGCAAATAATATCTAGGAAAACAAAATATTTAATTAAATCCAGGAGTTTTGAGAGCTATTACCAGGACACAGAGTCAAGGAGGAAGAATTGAGAAGATACTAACTGAGATGAATTTGCATGGCATTTTACACACAAAAATATTATTTATCTTTATCCATTCTTGAAAAAAAAATCTTTATCCAACCCTTTGTTCCTAAAATGAATTTCCTAAAAATTATTCCTCGACAGATCATTTCTGCCTGCTCTATGGTTTTATCTATGTCAATTGTAGACAGAATGTGCCTGCAATAGGATCTTTATTTTTTATAATCCTGCAAATACGGTGCAGGTAGCCTTTTATTTACAACCATTTATTAGGGACCATTCAAAATTACAATGGCACTGAAAAAAGTGACTTACAACTGGTCTTCACGCTTATGACCACTGCAGCATCCCCACGGTCATATGATTAAAATCAAATAGTAGATAAACCACAACCTACTACTTGATAAGATAGAAAAATGTGGGTTAGACAGCATCACCACCAGATGGATCCGTAGCTGGCTGACCGGCCGTACTTAGTGAGTGGTCCTCAATGGAACATATAAAGAGCGGTTGCTGGAATTGGGTATGTTTAGTTTAATGAAAAGAAAAACTATGGGTGACGTGATGGCAGCGTTCCAATATCTCAGAGGGAGATGTTGCCACAAAGAAGACGGAGTCAAGCTATTCTCCAAAGCACCTGGAGGCAGGACAAGAAGCAACAGATGGAAACTAATAAAGGAGAGAAGCAACCTGGAACTGAGAAATTTCCTGGTAGTTAGAACAATTGATTAATGGAACAACCTGCCTCCAGAAGCTGTGAATGCTCCAACACTGGAAGTTTTTAAGAAGAGACTGGACAGCCATTTGTCTGAAATGGTATAAAGTTTTCTGCCTGAGCAGGGGGTTGGACTAGATGACTTCCAAGGTCCCTTCCAACTGCTATTCTATTCTATTCTATTCTATTCTATTCTATTCTATTCTATTCTATTCTATTCTATTCTATTCTATTATTCAGGATTGGCAACCTGTATATATTTACAACAATTGCTGAGTCCTAGGGTCATTTGGGCCATTTGGGACCTTCCCAGCCAGCATCTGATAAGCAATTCAAAAGGAAAAGCCAGATTCATTTAATAACCATGTGATTCACTTAACAACTACAATGATTCACTTAACAACCGTGGCAAAAAAGTTCCAAAATCAGGCATGACTCACTTAACAACCATCTTGCTTAGCAAAAGAAATTCTGGTCCCAGTTGTGGTTGTGAGTTGAGGATTACCTGTATTTTGTTGTTGTTGTTGTTAACTTGGATACAAAGAGGCTAATGTTACAGAACCTTAGAAAGTTACAAGTGAGTACAACTGTTATACACAATGGTAGTAATACCCAGACAATAGCAAAAGGTTCTAATAAAGTTGTGGCTTATTGACTGTTCCCAGTTGCTGACTTTGAAAAGCATCTGCTTTTGATTTGCCTTTTCTAGAAACCCAGAGATGTGAATTTCTGTGGCTTTCCGGCTACAGAGTGACACGATTTTTTTCTTCTTGGTGTCATGTCACAATCCATTGATGCGTCAGCTGATGACGTGAAGCCAAAGGCCTCTTTCCAAATGGGGATGAACTGGACTTCATCAACACCAAGAACAGGAAACAGGACTGAGGGAAACGGCTTAGGAAGGGTCCTATTTTAACGATCTGCTTTCAAGTCCCTTCTTAAGTTGTAAAGAAAGGCCAGTTTACATACAGTCAAAGTGTTGCAAATAATATATCATATTTGCACTCTCGCAGATTCTAAAATCCCAAAATCAGAGATCAACTCTGAATGACTGCACAACCATAGAATGATAGGGATGGGTGGGGCCTCAGAGGTCTTCTAGTCCAATCCCCTTCTTATAAGGAACGGTTGCTGGAATTGGGCATGTCTAGTTTAACGAAGAGAAGGACGAGGGGGGACATGATAGCAGTATTCCAATATCTCAGGGGCTGCCACAAAGAAGAGGGAGTCAATCTATTCTCCAAAGCACCTGAAGGCAGGACAAGAAGCAACGGGTGGAAACTAATCAAGGAGAGAAGCAACCTAGAACTAAGGAGAAACTTCCTGACAGTGAGAACAATTAATCAGTGGAATGACTTGCCTCCAGAAGCGGTGAATGCTCCAACACTGGAAGTTTTTAAGAAGGGACTGGACAGCCATTTGTCCGAAATGGTATAGGGTTTCCTGCCTGAGCAGGGGGTTGGACTAGATGACTCCAAGGTCCCTTCCAACTTTATTACTTCATTATTATTATGGATCATCGCACAGTCAGCCAGATGTTCAGACTGGATTTGGCATTTTGTCTACCTATCGAGTCCTTACCCAGAACCTGGGATAGGCAGATGTGGATGTTTGATGGTATTACAGGTATCGTCGCAGGATGGAAGCAGTTCCTAATAAGGCCGCCTTTTGCAATTGACTAATAGCAAATTTGTCAATGCCAATGGTGTTCAAGTGGTGCTCCAGTTGTTTTGGGATTGCACCCAAGGAGCCTACGACTATTGGTACTACCCTTGCTTGCTTTTGCCACAGTCTTTCTATTTCTATTTGTAGGTCTTTGTATTTTGTTATCTTCTCCAGTTCTTTCTCTTCTATTCTGCTATCTCCAGGCACTGCCACGTCCACTATCCAGACTTTTTTGTCTTTCTTATCGACAATTGTTACGTCCGGGGTGTTATGTTGCAGGTGCTTGTCTGTTTGAATTCTGAAGTCCCAAAGCAGTTTAATTTTATCATTTTCTATGACTTTCTCTATTTTATGATCCCACCAGTTTTTGCTTACAGGCAAATGATATTTTTTGCATATCTTCCAATGCACCATTGTTGCTACTTTGTCATGCTGCTGCTTGTAGTCAGTCTGTACAATCTTCTTGCAACAGCTTACCAAGTGGTCCACTGTTTCTTCAGCTTCTTTGCATAGGCGGCACTTACTGTCTGTTGCTGTCTTCTCAATTTTGACTTTGTATGCATTTGTCCTTAAGGCTTGGTCTTGTGCAGCCAGAATTAGTCCCCCGGTCTCTTTCTTCAATTTTCCTGCTCTTAGCCATTGCCAGGTTTTATTATTATCTGCTTTCCCAGCTATTTTTTTCATGTATTGGCCATGTAGTGCTTTGTCTTCCCATGCCTCTATTCTGTTCTTCATTTGGTCTTTCTTGTAGGCCAGTTGGTCTCTCCAGTAGTTAGTAAGCCTTCCTGATATACTAATTTCAGTGCATCTTCATCATTGTTCTTCAGATATTCTTCCAAAGCCATTTTTTCTTCTTCAACCATCTGATGTACTTGTAGCATTCCACGCCCACCTATTTGCCTTGGTAGATAAAGTCTATCAATGTCACTGCGTGGATGAAGGGCATGATTCATTGTCATTATTTTTCTGGTCTGCCTATCCATTGCTTTTAGTTCTGCTTGAGTCCAGTCCACTATTCCAGCTGTGTACCTAATGACTGGGATTGCCCAGGTGTTGATTGCCTTTATGGTATTTCCTCCATTGAGTTTGGATTTTAAGATCTTCTTCACTCTCTTGATGTATTCACCTCTAATCTTTTTCTTGACTTCAGTGTGCTTGATGTTGTCAGCTTGAAGGATACCCAAGTATTTGTAGTACTCTTCCTCATCCAGACTCTTAATGTTATTTTCGTGGGGCATCTCGATTCCTTCAGTTTTCATTATTTTTCCTTGTTTGATAGTAAGTGTGGCACATTTGTCCAAGCCAAACTCCATTACAATATCTTGGCTATTGTTGTTGTTGTTGTTATTATTATTATTACTATCGATCATCGCACAGTCAGCCAGATGTTCAGACTGGATTTGGCATTTTGTCTACCTATCGAGTCCTTACCCAGGACCTGGGATAGGCAGATGTGGATGTTTGATGGTATTACAGATATCGTCGCAGGATGGAAGCAGTTCCTAATAAGGCTGCCTTTTGCAATTGACTAATAGCGAATTTGTCAATGCCAATGGTGTTCAAGTGGCGCTCCAGTTGTTTTGGGATTGCACCCAAGGAGCCTATGACTATTGGTACTACCCTTGCTTGCTTTTGCCACAGTCTTTCTATTTCTATTTGTAGGTCTTTGTATTTTGTTATCTTCTCCAGTTCTTTCTCTTCTATTCTGCTATCTCCAGGCACTGCCACATCCACTATCCAGACTTTTTTGTCTTTCTTATCGACAATTGTTAAGTCTGGGGTGTTATGTTGCAGGTGCTTGTCTGTTTGAATTCTGAAGTCCCAGAGCAGTTTAATTTTATCATTTTCTATGACTTTCTCTATTTTATGATCCCACCAGTTTTTGCTTACAGGCAAATGATATTTTTTGCAGATCTTCCAATGCACCATTGTTGCTACTTTGTCATGCCGCTGCTTGTAATCAGTCTGTGCAATCTTCTTGCAACAGCTTACCAAGTGGTCCACTGTTTCTTCAGCTTCTTTGCATAGGCGGCACTTACTGTCTGTTGCTGTCTTCTCAATTTTGACTTTGTATGCATTTGTCCTTAAGGCTTGGTCTTGTGCAGCCAGAATTAGTCCCTCGGTCTCTTTCTTCAATTTTCCTGCTCTTAGCCATTGCCAGGTTTTATTATTATCTGCTTTCCCAGCTATTTTTTTCATGTATTGGCCATGTAGTGCTTTGTCTTCCCATGCCTCTATTCTGTTCTTCATTTGGTCTTTCTTGTAGGCCAGTTTGGTCTCTCCAGTAGTCAGTAAGCCTTCCTGATATACTAATTTCAGTGCATCTTCATCATTGTTCTTCAGATATTCTTCCAAAGCCATTTTTTCTTCTTCAACCATCTGATGTACTTGTAGCATTCCACGCCCACCTATTTGCCTTGGTAGATAAAGTCTATCATATTATTATTATTATTATTATTATTATTATTATTATTATTATTATTATTATTATTTTGGCTTATACTGTTCCAATCAAATGGCTGTCTGGTCTATTCTTGAAAACCTCCAGTGACAGAGCATTCACAACTCAGGGAGGCAACTGTTCCACTAATTAACTGTTCTGTCAGAAAATTTGGCACTATAGGCAAAGAAGAAATTAAATTAATTTCTCACTTCTAGGTTGGATCCCTAGAAGCTTCCACCCTGTCCTTCTTGCTTTGCTTTCCAGTGCCCTACAGAATAAGTCAATCCCTCTTCCCTGTGATAGCCCCTCAGGTATTGGAGAAGAGTTTTTACATTCTGCCTAATCCATTTACTCTCTAATACTTGCCCATGAAAGGTGTTGAACAGCAGATTGGGCTCAATCTATTGTTTCAACAGGATCTACTTTGACTAGAAGTTTCCATGGCAGTTTTCCAGACCAATTAGAGTTTACCTAGGAGATGCACAGATGACCAGGTCAGTAAATCCTGAATGTCCTTCCCTACAAATGATCATGTAAACATCTCCTACGCAAATTTCATTGCTGGCTAATTCCCCCTAAGGCTCTGCCTACTCAAGACCTTGATTGCCTGGTTTTGATTTTTGACTCAAGAGCTCACCAGCTGGCTAAAATGGGACATTGGTCGCTGGTTTCAAATGCAAAAAGCCACACTTACTTGTAAGATTGCCTTATTATGGGAAGCCCCACCGGTAGCCAATATTTTTGTGGTTGGCACTACAAGCAAAGAAGAAATGAAATTAATGGAGGTAGAGTTAAGATCCTATCTATCACAGAAAATTCTAAAGGATTACAACTTCTTGATGATAAAACTCATTAATAACGGTACTGAAAAGACCAAAAGCTGACACATCTGTTAATTAGCTTAGAGCAGTGGTGGCGAAACTTTTAGAGACCGAGTGCCCAAACTGCAACCCAAAACCCACTTATGCATCATTGGGTGCCAGGTAGGCGTGGCCACTGAGTGGGCATGGCCACTGAGCTGTCAGCTCATGCTCGCTCGCTCGCTGTTTGCTCCGACTTGTTGCTTCTGCCGAAAGTTGCTCCTTTTATAGCCTCTCACCTATTCCCAGACTGCGCATGTGCAGAGAGCTGCACATGCATGGAGAGGAGGAAACAGCTCGGCCCAGCAATGGCTCGCGTGCCACCAGAGACGGATCTGTGTGTTCGCTACCACGGGCTTAGAGGGTTGGATATTGGTAGGCAGTTTGACAAGAGGATTTCATTCTGGTCCTGTTTAAAACAAGCAGAATTCTGGCTTAACCCTTCAAATGCCACCCTTCAAAAGCTGGAAAGGTTGGGAAACTCTGCTGTAAAGCACTGTGAAGCAGAATATAAGTCTAAGTGCTATTGCTACTATTTGTCCGCCTTTTGATTATTTCTAATTGTGAAATAATCAGTATGGCTTTCATCTAATCTGGGTCAGTCATCAGGACCAGAGGTTTAGTCTTCCGAGCTTAGAGAATTTCTCTCTAAGAGAACTTAGAGAAGTTTCCTGGAGATGGGTTCCAGCATGAGTCCCAAAGCTCAGAAGACTAAACCTTTGGTCCTGGTGACCAGCCCAGACTGGATCATGCAACATTCTCCTGGGACACATATATTTGCCTTCATTCATGAATATTGCTTTGCTCATGTACAACACCCAGAGTCAACCAGATTGTGGTGGCCTTAAATGATATTATGAATGTAGGAACTGAAGGCCCACACATCCAGAGAGTGCCAGGTTGGGAAAAAAATACTTTATATTACCTAATTTAACATTGCCATGGGATATGGTATGATCTTAGGAGCCAGGAAGAAGACCCGTAGAAGGAATGGGGGCATGGCAAACATCTCACATCTAAGGACCTCCCTAGTTTTCTGGACTAAAATGGTGAAGGAGTTCCACTTTCATACTTGAAAGACTGTTAGTGTAACTTTAAAATAAAGTTAGGCCTAATATTTTTGGGTTGTTTGGCCTACCTTATAAGGCTGACAAGCATAGCATGACCAACTGCATATGGCCTGCGTGAATTTTTCAAATCAAGTTGTCCATCATTACCATCATCACATAGTCAAGATCACCATCTTACTTTTCTTTACACAAATGTCCCCCTATAGAAACATCTGGTTTCCTTTGATGCAGAAACTCCCAATGCAGTCAAGAGCTGTGCTGAGAGTTTGAGTGTCATCTACCAATAAATTTAATCAGAACTTCCTTTCAGGGGAAATTTCAGCAATGCACAAATTGGGTTTAAAAAGCCATTAGGTCCCACGTCACTGTCAATAAATAACTCAAGCACACAGCCCAGTAATCCTTTGAAGAAAACAAGTTTCAATTCTACTTGTACACAGTAGCAGAGGTTTGCCAATATTTGTAGAAAGATGTTACAAAAGCCACTGGAAAACCTCTGAAAATCACTACACTCAGGAGGCCAAACAACCTAAACAAACATGCAAAGCTGCAACTAAAACCATCTCTTATTGTTCAGTCCTCCCAAGCATCTTTGTGCTTTTCTACCAGACCTGCACAAGGCATTCTGGGAAAAGAAGTGGGAAGTTGTGGTGCAGAATGTAAGAGTTGTGCCTGGAGCAACTGATCTCAATCAGTTTAATGAATCAATTGTTTAATGAAGAGAAGGACGAGGGGGGACATGATAACAATGCTCCAGTATTTGAGGGGCTGCCCCAAAGAAGAGGGAGTCAAGCTATTTTCCAAGGTGCCTGAAGGCAGGACAAGAAGCAACGGATGGAAACTAATCAAGGAGAGAAGCAACCTAGAACTAAGGAGAAACTTCCTGACAGCTAGAACAATTAACCAGTGGAACAACCTGCCTCCTGAAGCAGTGAATGCTCCAACACTGGAGGTTTTTAAGAAGAGATTGGACAGCCATTTCTCTGAGATAATATAGGCTTTCTTGCCTGAGCAGGGGATTAGTCTAGATGACCTTCCAACATCAACATCATCATTATCATAATCATCATTATTACTACTACTACTGCTACTACTACTACTACTACTACTACTACTACTACTACTACTACTACTACTATTATATCACAGTTCTTTAGGATTCACATATACCTGGGATTTCCAGGAGAGCTTGAGGTGGTCCCTGTGCTTCAGGAAGCAGCAATCTTGCGAAGAAACAGGAGTTAAAAAGTGGGAAGGGGAAGGAGGGGCAAAACAGAGCAGTACAAGAACGCAACACTTAAGGATAAGAGTTACACTAGTTTCAAGGAAATAGCGGAATAGAATCATTAAAGAAAGGATGCAAAAGGAAGGATAGAATGAAATGTGAATGAGAATTTAAAAAAAAAACAATGAAATTATTTTAAAGACTTAAATTGCATTGTTGAATTGTCCCACAGTGAGTTGTCCATGGCAAGTTGTCCTGTGAGGAGTTTGGCCATGGCAAGAGGCTGCACAAAGTGGCTGCACTAAGTTGTCCCATTCCGACTTAAGGGGGACTTGCTTCAACAAAAGTTCCCCAGGTCAGCAATATTCGGAAGAACCAAAGTCCAAGCAAAGCCACAATAATATTCTAGAATCTAATACAGAGGAGTGGGGAGTCCTTGGTGCTCTCTAAGTCTGGTTGTTTGCTTGTATATGTTTCATTGCCCAATTGGCTGCACTGGTGATGTTACCTAGTTGGGTAATAAAACGTCTGCAAGAAAATAGCCACGTTCAGAGAGCATGAAGGATCTCACAGTTCAATCCTGAACTGTACATATTGTCTTCTCCAGAGGACTCAGAAGAAGGAAGGAAATAATCAGATTGGGGGTGGTACAGTATTGGGGGGGGGGGAGTTGCATTCCTGGCTCAAAGACTTGAGCTATTCGTCCACACTTGACAAAAGGAGGTTGAGCTAATATCACAACATTTCCTTCCAGCCTTTTTTTATAACTATCCATCTTTCCTACAGCTAAAAGCATCTCAATTTTTCCTTGAAAACACTGCTCTGCTTTCTCTGGACACAAAACTGCTGAGCTAGCATTTTGAGCAGCTGAGATAGGAATAGTTTAGAGCAGTACATCTCAATGTAGATTAAAGAGGGCCTTTGGTCCTCAGATGAAGGGGGGGGGGGTTCTGTGCCATCCTAATCTCTTTCCTGAGGCATACTTGGAATTGGTCCTACCATCTGGAAGGCATCCAGACATGTGATCCTGCCTTAAAGCAGACAGCTGGGTCTGTGCAAGGAGCACTAACATCTCTTTTGCTTTTCCAGATTTTAAGCAAGGAACTATTATTCCCTTACATTTTACCAGCCATGATACACGTGTAATCTCCTGGAAGCCAGCAGCCAAATAAAGACTCTTTCTGAGAATAAGTACTCATCTCTTTTGTTGGCCTGATTATGTAGATTGGGAGATGATGGATCCTTCAGCAGTAACCAGGTGGTATCCATCTATTCAACCAACAGATTCTCAGAATCGGATGCTGCTATTGCCTAGCAACCGGAAGATACTTACAGCTTGGGAATTTAGCTTATAGAATCCAACAGCCTATAGGAAAACTCCCAATCTAATTTAAGATTTATCCTTTTAGCCAAGAGCAGGAAAGAAGCTATTATCCCAGTTATGCAAGGCTTTTCCCTAGCCCTCTAAATGTATGTACAGGTAGTCCTCAACTTACAACAGTTCATTTAGTGACTGTTCAAAGTTATTACAGCACTGAAAAATGACTATTTTTCACAGTTACGACCTTGCAGCATCCCCAGGATCACGTAATCAAAATTCAGACACTTGGCAACTGGCTCATATTTATGACAGTCTCAGTGTCCCGGGGTCACATGATCCCCTTTTACAACCTCCTGACAAGCAAGGTCAATGGGGAAGCCAGATTCAATTAACGACCGTGTCACTAACTTGTCAACTGCAGTGATTTACTTAACAATTGAGGCAAGAAAGGTCGTAAAATGGTGCAAAACTCACTTAAGAAATGCCTTGCTTAACAACAGAAATTTTGGGCTCAGTTGTGGTTCTGTGTTGGGGACTACCTGTACAACTACAACTCCCCCAGCACATCTTTACAGGGATCTTTCTTGACTTATGAACACAACTGGGACCAGAATTTCTATTGCTAAGCAAGGTGTTATGTGAGTTGCACTCAATTTCATCATCTTTCCTGCTATGGTTGTTAAGTGAATCCCTGCAGTTGTTAAGCGAATCACTGCAACTGTTAAGCAAATCCAGTTTTCTCCATTGTTAGAAGCCAGCTGGAAAAGTTGGAAACGGCACCTCACACGACCCCGAGATTTTTCAACCATTGTAAATACATACCAGTTGCCAAATGTTGAAATTTTGATCAGTGACCGCAGGGAATGTTGCAGTGGTTTTCCAGAGGCTTTTGAAAGAGATGCAAACCTTTCAACAGCTGCCAAACCCTCAAAACAATATTGCGTTTTTGACATGTGTTGCAAAAATGAAATATCCAAAGGCACTCCACATCTGCAAGACAATAAAAATAAGGAGGAAAGGCTAACGACCCTCTTTAAACTAGCCGTTTTCCAGCCAGGCCTACCAGTTTCAACATCTGGAGTTTTTAGAAAGCTCAAAAGGCTGGTGTTCCAGACTGGGGGACGCTAAAAAAAATGCACCTAGAATGACCCTATTTTACAATGAATATGTCCTATTCCTCTTTTGCATCCCATGATGCAAAAATAAAAATAAATATTAGATTGGCAAAATATAAAAAAGATGTCGAGATTTTAGAATGAGTGCAGAGAAGAGCAACA